CGAGGATGTGGTGAAAAAGGAACTCTCCTACATTGCTGGTGAGAGTGCAAACTGGTCCAAACTGGAAAGCTGTATGGAAGTTTCTCAGTCTACTAACAATGAGCTCCCATATGACCCAGCATTTCCACTCCTAGGGATCTTCCCAAAGGTCACAAAAACATTGATTCAAAAGGATACCTGTACCCCTATGTTTACTGCATGCACTATTTATAATAGGTGAAACCTGGAAACAACCCAAACGTCCAATAGTAGATGACTGGATCTAGAAGATGTGGCATATATACACAATGGAATACTATTCAACAATCAAAAAAGATAAACTAATGCCATTTGCAGTAGCATGGATGGAGCTAGAAGGGATTATGCTCAGTGAAATAAGTCAGAAGGAAAAAGACAAAATATCGGATAGTTTCACTTATTGTAGGAATATAGGGGAACCGAATAAGCAATCAGGAAAAAAAATAATAACAATTAAAAAAACCAGAACACAACAAAACAAAAATAATCAGACAACTATAAATTATAAACATTCTGCAGGGGAGGGAGAGGGATCAAAACAAGGACAGGACGAGCACAAGGGACTAAGGCAATGGTGCATGGGTGAACTGGTGATGGAAATTCTATGGGGTCTACACCTGATATAAAATATATACAAATAAAGAAATTAATTAAAAAAATAGAAAGTATGCATGGGAAGGAAATGAAACTGTCTTTGTTATAGCTTATGTGATCATCTATGTAGAAAACCTGTAAGAAGTGAGAAAAAAATTCATAGAATAAATAATTAAAGTTGCAGGATTCAAGGTTAATATACAAAAGGTAATTGCTTTCCTATGACAGCAATGAACAAGTAGAATTTGAAATTAAAATTCAATTTGATTTACACAAGTACACCCCTCCTCCAAAATAAAATGTTTAGGTATAAATCTAACAAAATATTTACAAGATCTATATGAGAAATACTACAAAGCTCTGCTAAAAATTCAAAGATCTACATATATGCAGAAATACTTATATTCTCAATAAAGATGCAATACTATCAAGAGGTCAGTTCTTTCCAACTTCATTCATAGATTCAATTTAATCTCAATAAAATCAAACAGCTTATTTTGTAGTATTAATATGGACTGGTAAAAGAACTAGAATAACATAATATTAAAGGAGAAGAACAAAGCTGGTGGAGTGGCACTATGTGTCTTTAAGATGTACTATAAAGATACAGTAATCAGTCTGGTATTTGGAAAAAAGTTCAAAGCAACATAAGAGTTCTCAGAAATAGACTCCCAAAAATACCATCAATAGATCTTTGATAAAGAAGCAAAAGTAACACAATAGAGCAAAGAGTCTCTCAACAAATGGTACTGCAAAAACTGTATATGGAAGTTTTTATAGAAACTTTACATCCTTCACAAAAATTAACTCAAAATGGAACACACACCTAAATGCAAAAAAAAAAGTGTAAAACTCCTACAAGATAATGTAGGAGAAAACCTAGATGACCCTGGGTATACTGATTTCTTTTGAGATACAATACCGAGGCAGAATCCAAGAAAGAAGTAATGAATAAACTTGATTTCATTAAAATGAAAACTTCTGCTCTGTGAAAGACAATGCCAAGAGACTGGGAATATAAGCCATAGATGGGAAGAAAATATTTGCAAAAGACCAAACTGATTAAAAAAAAATTGTTATCTAAAATATACAAAGAAGGGCCTCCCCGGTGGCGCAGTGGTTGAGCGCTGGGTTGCGAAGCTGCCCGCAGCCTCTGCAGCGCCGGTTCGATCCCTGGCCACTGGCGAGGGTCCCACATGGTGCGCAGACCTCTCCTGCCACCCACTGCTCCTCTCAGCAGTGTACTTTGGTCCTTCTGCCTGCTCTGCTCCCCGCCCTGGCTCTGGTGAGTTCTCTCACCCTCTCGCAATTCTGACTGTACCCAGTGCTTGTATAAATAAATAAATACATCTTAAAATAAATAAATAAATAAATAAAATAAAATAAAATAAAATAAAAGAAGTCTTAAAACTCAACAGTAAAAAAAACCCCAAATAGTTGAACTGAAAAACAGGCCGTTTTTAACCATATGGCCTAAGAATTCTACTCCTAGGTATCTACTAGAATTAAAAAAACACTAACTCAAAGGAATATATGCACTCCTATATTTACTGCAGCCCTATTTACAATAGCTAAGTTATGGAAACAGCCTAAGTGCTCCAGGACAGAGGAGTGAGTGGCTCAGGAAAATGGGGTATGACACACAATGGAATACTACTTGATGACAGGATGAACTCCTGCCATTTGTGACAACATGGATGGAACTGGAAAGGATAATGCTTAGCGAAATAGGTCTGAAGGAGAAAGACATACCAAATGGTCTCACTTATAGGTGGAATATAGAGAAACATAACAAGGGTCATTCAAAGCCAAATCAAAAATAAACTCTTAATATTTAATTGTAAAACTGAGGCCACCTAAAGGGAGTATGGCAGGGTAGCAGGGCGGGGGTGGGGGGAAGAACCCAATGGAACATGGTGGAAGATTATCTGGGCATTGGTGGTAGGGAGGGTGTGAAAATACAAATTTGTAGAGATTTAAACTTATAACCCCCCAAAGCAGATAACATGATGTAAGCCAATTTTACCTCAATAAACATAATTTGGAAAAAGAAAAAAACAGGCCAAAGACATTAGCACACATCTCTATAAAGAAGATTTATAGATGGCAAGCAAACATATGAAAAGATGTTCCATATCACATGTCATCAGGAAAATAAAAATTAAAACAATGAGATATTACTATACACCTATTAGAATGACCAAAGTCTGACACTGAAAATGACCAAAGAATGACACTGACAACACCCAGTGCTGCAGAGGATACAGATCACAAGAACACTCATTCATAGCTAGTGGGAATACAAAATGATACACTACTTTGGAAGACAGTTTGATGATTTGTACTAAAGTAAACAGACTCTTACCATATGATCCAGCCATCAAGCTCCTAGGTATTTACCCAAAGGAGTTTGAAAACTTATGTCCACATAAAAGCTGCACATGGATGTTTATAGCAGCTTTATTTACAACTGCCAAAACTTGGAAGCAACCAAGATGTCCTTTCATGGGTAAGTGAATAAATATAAACTGGTACATCATACAACGGGATATTTACCATTTAAAGCAAATGACCTATCAAGTCATGAAAAAACATGGAGGAACCTAAAATGCACATTAGTAAGTGAAAAAAATTAATCAGAAAAGGGTACATACTATATAGTTACAACTACAAGACATTCTAAGAAAGGACAAAACTATGTAGATAGTTTCTCCCAGGGGTTGGGAGATGGGGAAGGTATGAATAGGTAGAATACAGTGGATTTGGGCCTCCCTGGTGGTGCAGCGGGTTGAGCGCACCAGTTGTGAGGCTGTCCGCAGCCCCTGCAGCGGGGGTTTGATTCCCGGCCAGCCCTGGAGATACCCACATGGCGCAGCAGACCTCTCTTGTCTCGCCCAAAGCTCTCCTCAGCAGTGCTTTTGGTCTGTCTGCCTGTTCTGCTCCCGGTTCTGTCTCTGGGGAGCCCTCTCACCCTCCTGCACCTCTGGCCTGTACCCCAGCTCTTGTATAAGTAAAATAATTTTTTTTGTTTTAAAAAAAGAATACAGTAGATTTATAAATTTGAAAATACTCTGTATGATACCACAAATGTCATTATACGTTTGTCCAAATTCAGAATGTATACATCAAGAGTGAACCATAGTAAACTATAGACATTGGGAGATTATGATATATAAAGGTAGGTTCATCAGTTTTAATAAATATACCAATGATGGGAAATGTATAAAGGATATTTGTTGGGTCCATACAGGAAACCTTTGTACCTTTCTCTCAATTCTGCTGTGAACCTGAAATTGATCTTTTTTTTTTTTTAAAGTACTTTTTTTTTTTTAAAGATTTATTTATATAAGCACTGGGTACAGTCAGAAGCACAGGAGGGTGTGAGAGAATTCACCAGAGCCAGAGCTGGGAACAGAACTGGCAGACTGACAAAATACACTGCTGAGGGGAGCAGAGAGCATGGCAGGAGAGGTCTGTTGCGCCATGTCGGACCCTCGCCAGTGGCCGGGGATAGAACCAGCGCTGCAGAGGCTGCAGCCAGCTTTGCAGCCCAGCGCTCAACCACTGTGCCACCAGGGGAGGCACCTGAAACTTAAAAAAAAAAATCTTAATTAAAAAAAAAAAAAAGCATGCAATTATATGTATATGTGGATTTGGTGTTAGGGCAGGCTTGTCATAGTTTTCAGATTCATAAAGAAGTTCATGTCCTCCTAAATTAAAGGGTTTCTATTACTGTATGTTAATTATTATGTAGTGTTACACAAAAACCCATTTACAGATGTGATTTAACATATGGGTGGCAGTCTATGATAGGAAAAAGCATTGATTCTAGAGTCTGATAGGGCTCAGGTTCGAATCCTGGATTTATCATTTATTGACTCTATAATCTTGTACAAATTACCTACACATCAGCCTTAACTTTCTTGTCTAGAAAGTAGTTTGAATATCTATTTCATAGTAGATATTTTGTATCTATTATGTATTATGTAAAACATCCATTACAGAGCCTAGAATATATATAGTAGGTATTCAATAAATGGTAAGGATCATTATATTATAAATTAAATTAATTTCCAATAAATTAAACTTCGATGAGAAAAGCATAATCTTAAAGTACAACTAAACTGCAAAATGTACATTAACAAAAAGATAACTCCTGTATATGTAGAAAATATATTCCAGGACCTTATTTTTCCTCATAGCTAACAGTGCTCTATAGTAATAATTATACATGCTCCTTAAAATATGAATTTATTAGGTTAATAAATGTACCAATAACCCACAATAAACAAAGTTTGTGGAAAACTGACTAAGCAAAAATAAAAGTAAATTGTTATCTTAGTCCCCATGATTACAATGAACAACTTTTTTAAACCAATGTTCCTCACATCACTTAGCTGTCTGTTGCAGAGTGGTGTGGCTGCATTGGTAGTCTGTTTGGTCTCTGCCTTTTTAGCTGCATCTCTTCTTGCTTGCTCAAGCAGAACTCTTGCTCTTTCTTTAAGTTCTTCTTGTCTCGATAACATTCGATGCTTTAAGGCAAAGATACAAAATCAGAAAAAGAAAAAATATCATGTAATCTACATTTGTAAAGTAGTCGATGGTTATACAACATGTCAAAATAATACAGAGGAGTTTTACACTGTATTATTAATAATACACTGTAGTTTTATGAGATTACAGACAGAAAATATTAATATTGACTAGAAACTATGGAAGGAATGAAAACCTAAGTCTTGACAAGAAATACTTTTACTGTCTAAAACTGGATTAAATTTAATTACATTTTTATTGGAACATATTCTCACAGGTATAAGATCCACATGTATGTGATACATACATTTTTTATATTTGCTATTTTGGCAAAGACTTTTTTTTAAAGATGCAAATTTTATTTTTAGTCTTACAAAATAAAAAGATGTCCTTCAAACTTACATGTTTCTATGTATACCAGCAATAAGTGGCATTAAGTCTTAAAATTCTTGACAATTAACATTTGTACAAAATTCAAAGCTATCATAGCTTGTATTTTTTTTTAAGATTGATTTATTTATTTATACAAGCACTGGGTACAGTCAGACTCATGAAATACACTGCTGAGGGGAGCAGCGGGCGTGGCAGGAGAGGTCTGTTGCGCCATGTGGGACCCTCACCAGAGGTCGGGGATTGAACCGGCGTTGCAGAGGCTGCGGGCAGCTTCGCAGCCCAGCGCTCAACTGCTGCGCCACCAGGGAGGCCCAAAGCTATCATATTTTGGTAAAAAAAATTAAAACTGGTTTCTCCATTGCGCATTTTCTTTACCAACAAAACAATTAACCATATCAGAACTGTACCAGTATTTTGCTTGCCTAATCTTATAATATCTTTTTGGAGAATAAGCAGTTTCATTGGTGAATGGAAATAATTTCTTAAATTGTATAAATGTTCATACTACTATGATTGAAATTTTTTTCTACTTAAATAGAAAACTCTAGCATTAGAGAGCTATTACTATTTTTTTGATACCTAATTACTTTTTCTTCCTTTTCATTGCAATCATAAGTTCAGTCATAAGTATTCAGAGTAAAGGAAGAGGAAATAAAGAGTAAACCTATTATTTTATTTTGGTATAGCGAAAAACCTTAAAAAATTTTGATAGATCATTTTTGAGTCTTTTTTAATTTTTATATTTTAATACTACAATTTTAAAATCTTTTTCTGTGATCTAAAACAATTAAAGGCTTTTCTTAAGGTGTAAAATCCAATGGTATTTTAGTATATGCACAAATTTTTAAACAATCAACACTATGTAATTCCAGAAAATTTTTATCACCCAACGTTTTTAAGAGGATTGAATAAAAATTCTTAATTTAAAAGCTAAAACTGAAATGTGTAAGTAATAATAATTTTTACTTCATGTTGATAGGACATAATAGAACTGGTCATTGTATTTAAGTAACTCAATAGTTACAAATATATACTTTCTCAAAAATAGACAAAGTTAAATGAATATTTAATTTGCAGCCAAGACACCAGGCTATTAATCTTTGCACTAACAATAAGCATAAATAATACTGGACAGGTACTTATAAAACTATACTGTATTCAATTATATGAAATTTAAGAATTTTGAAGTCAAACAAACTTGGGTTTAAATACTAGTTCTATCATTTATTTGTGGGCAAATTAATCTCTCCAAGCCTTAGTTTCCTAATGGGGATTAAAAGACCAAGTCTTCCATTGCTTAGCATTTATCTAAAGAATGCAAAAACACTAATTTGAAGGGATACATGCACTCTTATGTTCATTGCAGAACTATTTACATAGCCAAGTTATGGAAACAACCTAAGTACTCAACAACAGAGGACTGGATTAAGAAGATGTGGTACATATGCATGATGTATATTCAGCTATAAAAACAGATGAATTTTTGCGACTTGTGACACAGGATGGAATTGGAGGGGATTATGCTAAGTAAAATCAGAGAGAAAGATAGCGTATGATTTCATTCATATGTGGAGTATAGAAAAACAAAACAAAGGAACTGACAGAACTAAACCAAAAGAAAATCTAGAAATGACTGCAGAATTGAGGCCACCAGAGGGGTGGAAACAAAGTGGGGAGGGGGCCATATGATACATGATAAAGGGATATGGGTGCTTTCGGGTGAATGTAGAGCAGTGATGCACATTTGAGGAGGTGTGAACCTATTCCTCTGAATCATATACAGGGATGTAAACCAATGTTACTTTAAGTAAATAAATTTTAAAATAGATAAAAAATAAAAATAGAGCAACTCATAAGGATATTGGTAAAGATTACATGGAATTACGTGCACTGAGCACTGGATAAATATTAACTATTATTATATTTTAATCTATTTCATCTTTGAAATGAGGGGAGATCATCTTCAAAATCCCACTAGTTCCACATTCTTTTTTTTTTTTTTTTTTAAAGATTTATTTATTTATTTATACAAGCACTGGGTATAGTCAGAAGCGCGGGAGGGTGAGCGAATTCACCAGAGCCAGAGCAGGGAGCAGAGCAGGCAGAAAGACAGAAGTACACCGCTGAGGGGAGCAGCGGGCGGCAGGAGAGGTCTGCATGCCATGTGGGACCCTCCTCCGGTGGCTGGGGAGTAGCCGGGGATCGAACCGGCGCTGCAGAGGCTGCAGGCAGCTTCGCAACCCAGCGCTCAACCACTGCGCCACTGGGGAGGCCCTAGTTCCACATTCTAAGAGTCTATAATCCTTGAGGGATTTCAATAAGCCACATAGACAGTAAAAAACTGCTTTGGCTTCATAGCAGATAAACATTGCTTTTTCTGGTTATAAATACAATTCATATCCATTACATAATTTTAGAAAATACATAAAAAAGAAAAAGAAAAATAACTAGCAATCTTGTCACCCAGTGATAATCACAAAAGAATCATATTTCACTTAGCTTTTCATTGTGAGCTTTTCTTATGTACTTAAATAATTTTGTTTAAACATGACTTTTAATCTACAACTGGTTCATCCCCTATGGAAAACAGTATGCAGGTTTCTCAAAATATTAAAAATAGATCTACCATATAATCCAGCAATGCCACTCCTAGTTATCTACCCAAACCTGCAAAAACACTAAATGGATATATGTATTCCTATGTTCATTATAATAGTATTTACAATAACTAAGTTATGGAAACAACCTAAGCATCCAATGACAAAGGAGTAGATAAAGGAAATGTGGTTTATCTATATAAACAACAGGACACTACTCTGACCAATAAATCAATGGCCAATAAACAAATATATTTAGAGTTATAAAATATATGCTGCTTCTATCTCCTTGTGGATTTACTGCAGAGAACTTAAATCATCTAAATAGGATCTCTGCACGCCATGTGGGACCCTCCTCCGGTGGCCGGGGAGCAGCTGGGGATCGAACCAGCGCTGAAGAGGCTGCAGGCAGCTTCGCAACCCAGCACTCAACTGCTGCGCTACCAGGGAGACCCGTACAGAGTATTTTTAATCTTTAAACATTAATCAATCTCTAGCTTTAATTGAACATACTGATTTTTAAAATTTGTTAAAAAATTCTGTATTAGATACTAGAACTTAGGTTCACCAAATTCTGTAATTGCCAATCATTACATGTTTATTATTTACTGTGTATGGACACTATAATGTTCTGAAAGTTCAGGTAATGAAAACTCTTGATTTGAGATTTATGACGAGAAAGAGGAGTTTACACTGTTAGCTATGATATGTCTTTGATTCTAAGATGCACATTTTCTCTTAACACCTCTGAAAACTTAAAATTGATGGCACTTTATAATCTTTGTCATTCAGGTGGTAGTGGAAACATTAGTAAATGCCTATGCATGTGCATGTATGTGCAAATATGCATGTGATATTTTTGGTGGCATGAACGCAACTCCTGTTTTGGGTAACAACCACTTGAGTACTATTTTAGAAAGAACCAATTCCCAGTTATTGTCTGCAAACCTTTTATTGGGACCTTTAGGTAAATTCAGGGAAGTGCTATTATCAATGAGTGTTACTAAGAAGAAAATCCCATGGACAGTGTAGAGAAATGCTGTAATCTCACATTTTTTTGGTATCAGAATCCCCTTTCCTACTTAAAAATGACTGAGACTCCAAACAGGTATTGCAAGTATCTACTGATATTGTTTTGGAAATTAGTATTGAAAACTTTTAAAAATATTCACTCTTTTAGAAATATAATGAAATCACTAGATGTTAATATACTCTAATTTTTAAAAAGTGAGTAGAATGGCATTATTTTATATTTCTGTAAATGACTTTAATATTTGGTTTCACAGAAGGCAGCATTATCTTCATATCTACTTCTGTATGTTATATCACAAATCATGTAGTCTCCAGAAAATGCCACTGTACACTTGTGAGAAAACGAAAGTTAGAAAGGTAAGTAATGTTCCAGTATTACTATGAAAGTATTGAATAGTTTCAAATTTGGGGGCTTTCTATAAGAGTTTCAGAGGTCTTCAGATCATAACTGAAGAACCAGTGCTATAACATCATGCGCTAGATGACACAGAGGACAACACTGTGTGGAAAAACAGGAACACTAATAGCTCTAAATCAAAGTGATTCAGAAGAGTCAGATTTTAAGTTCTAATTCTAAAATGACTGTACTTTAATAAATTTATTTTGCTTAAAATTTCCTTTATATGTGTACATACTAATGTTATATGATTTAAAAATATGTGCCTCAAGAAGTCTAAAGGAACTCTTTCAATAGGTATAAGTTGAAAGTCAGTATGTTATGAAAACCATGTATAAGAGTTTATTGGTAGTGTTTTTCTTTGTGGTACCTAAAATAATGGTATATCTTATAACTGATGGTACTGTATATTCAATTAAATATAGCAATGTATTTAATTGAATTCTAATGTAAAAAAAAATCTATGCCATATTCCCTTTATAAGGAGAAATTTTGATGTTACTGGGATTTTTAACCACAAGTATTGAAGGAACTAAAAGTACCAATTTCCATGCAACTAAAATATTTTGAAGAAAATGTTTTAAATGAGAAATAGAAAGAATGATATTCTTACTATATGTAACAATGAAAATTTTTGTCTTTATAGTAAAACATTATTTTTAAAGGTTACAATTTGGATTTGAAAAACTGACATTCATATACTTCACCCTGAAACTGGCATTAATTTGTAGGCTTAAAATACAACATATTTTGAATGAATAACAGGTGATGTTATATATTTCTGTAAGGGGAAATTACACTTTACTCTTAGTCATTTTTAACATCTTAAGATGCTCTATGAATACAAAAAGCAGCAAATATACAGAATAACTATTTACTACATATACACGTTAACTCACCTGAACTGTTTTTGCAGAATGATCTGCATGATTGAAAGTGGTTCTGTCAGCATCTGGTTCAGACTCTGTCTGCCTCAGGGAAGTACGTTTTTTCTTCGCAAGGTCTGCATCTCTGTTGTACGAGTATCCAAGTTTAGAAGTAGGAGATAAACTTGGTTTTTTGATAGGTGATTCAGGATCTAATTTGTACTCTAAGTGTCTGGAATTCTCTAATTTTTCTTGCTCCAAGTTACTACCAATGTCTAAAGTGTGGGGTTTTTGTTTCTCTGTCTCCTCACAAACAAAGGTTGGAGATACATCTTTCTTCTTATCACTAATATATAAGTCACTTAATTCTAAAGTCTCAGCTTTCAATAGTCTCTTTCTGCTTAACAAAACTTGGGCGTGAGTTGAATCTGTATTGTAACATATTCCAGGGTCATCAAATCCTGAAGTCCTTCCAGAGCTCTGCTGGGACTTTAGGGGTTCTGTGTCACTTTTAGTCCTGCGACAGTATGGGGAAGCTGTGCTTGGACTAAGATGGTCATCAGGAGTCTGATGTTCACTTTCTGACTCTCCAACGCCACTATCATTTACAAATACAGAGTCATCCTGTGATAAGAAGTCCACGGCTCCAATGGTAGGCTGTTGCAGTTCAGGCTCACGTTTCAGATCACTAAGTTCTGCATAGAATTTTTCCTGATCAACAGAACTGTTTGTATCTGTTTCATAGTTTCCAACTTTATATGTGCTTTTACTACTGTTTTCCTCTATCTGAACAACATTTAGTTCTTGGCCACTGAAATGTGCTCTTATTTGATAAAGGTAAGTCATAACAGTCAGTTTGTCAGGAATTGCTAATAAAACCATATCAGAAGGTTCCAATAATCGGGAAATTCCTATGCTGGCAAATCCATCATATGCCTTCAAGAGAAAGAAAGAAAAGATCTTGTGAATAGTCAAACAATTCATATACTTTAAAAACAGCAAAATTTTAATGAATTTTTGTTGTTGCTGGAGGATATATTATGTAACTGATATTATATTCCATGAGCAGAGTATATTTGCAAAAGTATGGTAGAAGCAAGAGATAATTCTTTTTTGAAGATTTATTTTTATTTACTGATGTATACTGGAACTGGGGTACAGGCCAGAGGTGCAGGCTAGGTTGGAGATGGGGGTGAGAGAATTCACCAGAGGCAGAGTGGGGAGCAGATAGGCAGATCTAAAGAAATACACTGCTGAGGGAAGCAGCGGGCGAGGCAGGAGAGGTGGGTAGCTCCCTAGCCAGGGATAGAATTCAGGCGTTAGTGGTGATAGACTTGAGTTTTAAGCCCTAGGCCACCAGGGAGGCCCCAGCAAGAGATAATTTTTTCTTTAATTAATAACAACTGAATGTTTCTTTCTAATAAGGAAAGTAAGCAAAATGATAGTTAAAAAAATCCTAGAATCAATTTTTAAGATAAGGAACTAAGGTAAAAGGAAACAATAATCCATGTGGAGTTTTATTATTGCTACCAACTTTTCTTATCCATAGTCATATAACCACAGTGATTTGTTTAGAAAAAGCACAGCCAAATATGCCTAAAGAACAAGCCCCTAGATTACCTGGTAAAAATACACGTAAACACTATTTAAACCTAGAAACACAAAAACATTACCAATTTAGATTGATTTTCATAATGAGAAGAGTGACTTCATTTTCACTTCACCCATTTTGGAAAGAATGAAATGTTTTGAGTAGTACAGCCTATTTGAGAATGTGAGGCTGCATTGTATTATTTTTGTAAGCCTTTAAATGATGGTGGCACATCAGGTTTTTCTAGTTTTGAAGAATCAAAGCTGTTTCTCAATTTACAATTAATTATTACTATCCTGAACTAACCCTTGAAAACAGCATTGTGTTGCTAAGAATCATAAAAAATATGACTAAACGTTTAAATATACTCTTGGAAAAAGCAAGGATCCTCTAGTTGTATTCTCATTTTGAGATGTAAATGTCTAGTCTTGTAATAACCCAGATGCAGGATCATAACTCAGCTTTTCTTAAAAGAAAGGTCAGGAAATTCTGTAATAATTCAGAGGTAATCAGTTTTCTGCACTTGCATATTAAAGTACATTTCTACTTTTTAATTTAATCCGCGTCTCGTAGTCTAACTGTAGTTTAATAAATGTGGAATGTGTCAAAAAGAAAATGAAAAATAAATTGCAATATTAAAATCTCCTCAATTTTCACAGCATTGTTTTTCATAATATAGTAACTCCAAATATTTACTAGAGAGAATGGCTCAGTTGGTGTGCATGTATAGGCCTGTTTATTATTTTACATGTTTTAGGAAAATTAAAATCATTTTGTTCGTCATGCGTCTTGACAACTTGATTGACAGACATCAATTGCAGACCATCAAGAAAAGCACCACAGGCAGTACTCTAAACATTTCCCAATTATCTAAACACTGACATATTGGTTAAGATCAAATGTCACAGGTAAATACCTTTTTTTATTTAGCACTTTTTACAGACCTGGGAAAATGCTTAGCTTCCTTGTGGGAAATCTCCTGCTGGTGTTTTGCTTCATGTAGCAATTCATTTTATGCACACTAATTGCACAAAAAAACATTTAAAAACAAACCAGGTTTCTTGCGAGGTCAAGACTTTATAAAGGAATTTTCCCATAGGTTAACCTCTTCTGCTGTGATCAATCACCTACTGTTTTTTTTAGCTGTGTGCGTATGTTTAAAAAAAGAGGTGACTTAAAGGAAAGTGTCATATTCACTTCTAAACATTATTTAATTAGATAAGGAGGAGTCACTGCCAGTTATGTTATGTATTTGCATGGAATTTAAGGCACAGGTATTATTTCATATGTTGCTTAAATTGAATGAAGGGCAGATGAGTTTATTAGGAAGACCAATGTGGAGAAAGAAATAAATCTGCAGGTAGCAACTGATACTCAATGTAGATACCAGGTAAGAAGTTGCAAAGTGATGAAAAGACAAGACAATCACACAAATATTTATTAAATTGTGTAATACATAGGCTCATCTAAATTAACCCTTTGCACTCCGAACCATTCTGGACATTGGCTACCAATGTCCCCTGAGAGGGGAGAGCGGAGTGCAAAGGGTTAAAGTCCTTTCAAAAGCCATGACTATTTGTCCTGGAAGATATGAGAAAAACAATTTAATGAACTATTCTTCTGTATGTAGTAACATGCAAATCCAAGGTATGAACAATATTATTAAGCTCTGGAAAAAGAGGTAATGTAAACAAGTGTGATTTAAATCTTAGAGATTCCCCAAGCTCTTTAAAAATAGGTAAAATTAATGATGTTTCCTTTAAAAATTTTCAAATAATAACTAAAAAGCATTTTATAAGAATAATCATTTATTTTATAATGCCTTTTTTCTGCATTTAAACTAGTATTTATTCAAATGCATGATTGGAGAGGTAAGCATTGTCATATATAAAGATATGATTGATGAAAAACAAAGCATTCACTCTGATAAGATTTTCAGGTTCTCCAAAATTATAAAAGAGATAATTAATAAGCATGACTTACTGTGTATCATGCCCACAACAAAGGTGACTTCTATGAAAATAATAATACTGATTTTTTTTTTAAAGTTTATTTTTTGGTGCCATATTTTAACCAAAATATTTAAAGTTTAATAATGCATTTATAAAGAAACAAGAAAAAATTACAATGGCAATACAAACTTTGCTTTAGAGATGATTAAGATTAAAAATTATTTTCTTTTAAATTCTCATCTGTTAATTTAACTTTAGTCAAAGTTCCCTTTATAGAGTTTTTAATTGATGATGATTTTAATTATTTCTTTGTGTCATGAACCTTTTGCCAATGAACCCCTTTCTCAGAGTAATGTTCTATGTGTATAAAATACATAGGCTTACAAAAACACCCAGTAATATTGAAAAATAGTCCTATGAGAATAGTAAAACTAAACTTGAGAATCAGTAATACATGTGCTTTTCATGAATGTAGAAGCAATGAGTTGAGAGGTATTTATAGATATTTACAATTAAACCACGATATGAAAACATCTGAGATTCTAAAGTGGACAAAGTAAAATCCAGTACTACCATGAATTTTTGCCTACATTCATAATTGAAGGAAATGCTAAATTCAATGAAAGAAATGTGAAAATGAAATATATTTTTTCCATAACCATTTTCAATAACCCCAGAATTCTACCCATAGCTCCTCGGCTAAGAACTCCTGTTCTAAGGTAACAATACATTCCATTAGCTTTTCACAGTTGAATTCAATTCAGTGCCAAAAAAAACACTGAGTATCTATTATCCACTGAGTTAGGTGGTTCCCTTCTTTTGCATGTCATAATACACTCAGAAAATTGTAATACTGTACTACACACATGGGTAAGTTGTTAAGTTGGCCTGCAGTCAGTCAGCTGGCCCAGAGGGTTCTAGCAGCTTGACATTGCATGGTTACCCTAAAGACTGAAATGATAAATATCTCCCACACACCTGTTGGAAAGCTGACTTCAGTACATTAATTATGTGGAGAAAAAAAGATGGTTTAACAGAAAATGAAACAGAGCCAAACAAAGTTCACATCTTCTTGCTTCAGTAATCTATGCATTTTTCTTGCATGTCTATTAGGCTCTTTCCTCAGATTTCTTTATAGCACAATAGTTTTGGGTACAGTTCTTAAAAATTAAATCTTGAATAAAAGCAAAATATATTAACAAATATTTAACAATTAATGAAGTTCATACACATATTATAATCAGATGCCAGTCTGGCACTTGTGATCTTTAAAGGCCATGACAAACTAGAGAAAACCCTGCAACCTATTTGAACTGCAGGAAGCAGAATACCTTCTGTGAGCTGCAGTTATGACCTCACAAAACAACCTCACTCTTCTCAAATTAATAAAAAGCCTGCAGAGAAGCCAAAATTGAAACTATGTTTTTTTTGCCCCCTTGGCAATTCTTACCTTTTTGTTGTTCTCTTTAATATCTTGAGGATTCAGAGACTTGTAGTCACTGAGGGAGAAAATAGCACAGTAGGTACATATAGTATTTGATAAAAATAGCTGTTTTTAAAACAAACTGAATCTAAAAATTTGACATTCAATAATACCAGAGAGTAACTAGCAATTCTGCTGCAATTCAATCAACAAAACTAATAGTGTGGAAAATTAAGGAAATAAATAAATAAATAAAAACAGTGATTACATGTTTCATTGCCTGAAGCTTTCCATCTAAAAGAGAAGTTAAGGGAGGGGACCAAAGACTAGCCTTGACAACCAAATTCACCAAGAGGTAATCCCTTGTTGTCAATATACAAAGAGCTACAGGGTTATTTGTCTCATCTCATTTTAACACTAACACAATTTTCATAATGTGAAGCCAGTTCTTTCTATGAGATTTAAGGAGAAAAATAACATTTTAAAAAATAGAAGAGATTGTTTTTAGGCATCAGGAAAAAAGAATTTTTCTTTCTGGTATATACTTCTTTCAAAAAGCAAGAGAATTGGGTGATAAAAATACATATAAAGTCAAATATTTCAAGATATGTTAAGAAATTATTTTGTTTTTTAAAAACTATTATTTACAAAATATTTATAGGGAGGGAAAATGTTTCTACTTACATTAAATCTGGTCTAAAGTGGTGTAATATTGCACAAAAAGATAAACCATTTCTCCATGATGTAGTAAAATTGGTGATTTTTACTCCCCGGTAGTTTTTTGTAACTTCTTTACACCATACAAGCAATGATTGACTAGCGTTTGGTTTTCGCCCCAAAACAGGACTTGGTATAGGACTTGGCTAGAAAAAAGGAAAAGAGAAAACATTAAAACAATTTAATGGAAGATGAAAATTAACATTAATTGACCTAACTAGATCATTTGAACCCTTTGATGTCAGTTTAGGTCCTTCAAAGCTGTCAATTCAAGACAATGTAACCTCCAAGAAGGAGACAT